TATGGAAGCAGGGCTGAGACTTGCTGCTTTTCTGGTGGTGCTACTCAACAACTCCTACCCTAGTATGTAGGTTAGGTAGGTTAATAAGGTCTTTATTTAGACAGTCTTCTCTGGCAGGTAGCTTCAGGGAACAGCCTGAAAATTCATGGGATATTGTGGTGCCCTGCAGTAAGGTCCTACTAACTGTGGTGCATTTGAGTGATACAACAGATTACTGGATTTGAAAGTAGAGAAGGACCTGTTTTGTCACTTAATCTCTCCAGCTATACATAACTGATCCCTTTGGACCATATACTAGTTTTAAATTTTGCAGGTTGCAATAGCCATATCATTCATTTTAGTCATTTTACAAAGGTGAATAAATAACTATGTTCCGAAATAGATTTTTTTTTTTCCTCTTATGTTTTCTTTGTTTTATTTTGGTACATTGTTAATTATTAATTTTTTTGTCTCTCTGCATTATCCCTTTCCTCCCTTGGTCTGCATACCTCTCAGATTAAGTGTTTGTCATTTTAAGATTGGACTTTCTATCCTTACTTGAGCAAAACTTTAGTGTGAGCTTTCTTTCATTAAATACTAAAGAACCAGGCTCTAATTAATTGTTTATTGAGCTATAAATGCAAACACCCTTGCTTTTGTTTTTTCTTCATAAATTAGTTTCTGTAACTTTCTCTTGGTGGTTGTTTCTGTTTGAATTGCCTTTGCCATAGCATTATCTAAACCAGAACTCAATATTCTAGAGGTAACCAAACCATGTAAAAAGGTATTACAGTGAACCAGTTGAGTCATCAACTCCTCATCTACAAGTCAAAGGTCACTAACTTCACCAGAAGATGGTTGTAATAGGTTGTAATTAAATGTACTTTAAAAACTCTGAAAGCATCCAAATAATGACGACCTCAGTGTTTTTAAATGCTGTTAATCATCCAAATACAGGAAAATGGAATATCAAGTCCTTTATTACTAGAGAAATCTGGTCAAGTGTTACACCTGTAAGCCACTTTAAACAGTTATTAGGGTTCAAACCCACCTCCTGCTGCACTCTGGGTTGCAGGAATTAATAGATTAATAATTTCATGTAATTCAAATAAGATACTAATTTAGTCCACCATAAATTTTAATTACACTTTGCAATACTATTAGTGGCCACAGAGTTTGAAGCCCTAAAGTAAACGGAGGTTATTCAGAGAAGTTTCATCCAACACTTCAGCCAGTTATTACAGGTCATAAGCCATTATATACTGTTCTGCATTAATAATACAGTAGTAATACTAATTGTCCAACAGACGCAGTGGGCCCTATTAAACAATGGCTTATACAGCACATTGATTTGAAACTTTTAATTTAGCTATCATTTTCTGATGGGAACATCAGATACCTACTTTTTCCTCAGATGTGCAGTAACTTGAGTAGTGTATCCTTTCAGCTAAAAGGCTCTTATGAATCAACCTCCACAAAGTGTATCTCAAATAATACAAATTCAGTGGGAGTCTTTGGGTTGCCTATGTAAAATTGGTGCTTGAATAAGAAAAAGATTTATGTAATCTTCTGTTAACTTAGGAAAGCTATATGTCACTCCCATGATTGCAAGGAGAGAGGTGTAATTAATCTTAGAATGAATTGTATTCTTTTATGTGAATAATCCAAAGATTTTTTTTTAATGTTTTTAATTGCTAATGATGTATACATGCTGGGAATCCTCATTCAAAGTAGTGGTTGTTTCTCAGAGAGCAGAATTTTTAAAACAGTAGGTTGTCTTTACTGGGAAGATGGATCTCCGTAGCCTCCTGTCTGCCCAGAATGTTTAGTGATTGCCTGTGTCTGCAGAGACTGAAGTCATGCATGTTCCAAATCACCGAATTTACATCCTGTCTATTTGTGCAGTGCTTACGATTCTGTGCTGAAGCTCATCTTGATTCTGGTTAGCTTTCTCTTTTCTTACTCTACTTAAACTCCTGCACTCGCTGCATCAGATACTCTCCCACGAGTCTGCTCATTCTCTATCCTGCTCTGTTGATTTATCTCATCTCTTTTTGTGTCATCTCTTCTCATTCCTTTTCTTCTTGAATCCATGTACCACCATCCCTGGAGGTATTTAAAAGACGTAGTTGAGCTTAGGATCTTGGTTTAGTGGGGGCTTGGCAGTGTGAGGTTCAAGTTTGAACTTGTTGATAATAGCATGGTTTGGATTGGAAGGGATCTTAAAGATCATCTAGTTAAGGTCCTTTCTAGCCTAAGTCAAAGAATGTTAGGGGTTGGAAGGAACCTCTGGAGATCGTCGAATCCAACCCCCAAATGATTCTATGATTCAATGATCCACTTCTCTTTTGCAAACGACTTTCACGTAATCTCTGTTTCCATTTTATCCCAGCAAAGTGAGCATTTCTTAAATTACTCCTTCTTTCAACCTTGCTGGACTGTGCTGGACAATGTACTTGCTGTATCTTCATCCCACTTGTCCTGTTCTAACCACTCAGGAAATCCAGAATCTTATGCTTTTGGGAAGGTGCCAAGTGCCACAAAACTCCAAATATAACTGTTAGAAAGCTGCTAGCTGCTGATAACCAAAGACTCCTGCTAAAGTATTCTGATAACTCTTCAATCCTTAGGCACCCTGCTGTTACGTCTTGTAAATGGATTCAACGAGAGCTCAACCAGCAGCATGGTGGTGATGTTTTGGGAGAGTGAAAGTGGGGGAGTGGGCTGGTGCAGTGTTAAAAGGGCTGAATGCATGATGTAATAGCATGATCTTTCTTCCCACCCAGTCTACCAGTGTTGAAACATGAAGATTATTTTCTGAGGACACCTCCAGTAAGCAAAGCCTCCAGAACTCCAGGGAGCAGTGTTTGGAGCAGTTCAGGGCAGAAAATGGTTGGGTTTGGTGCAAATGTGGAAGATGGACGAGCCCTTCTGAAGCAAACAAAGAAGGAAGGCAGCATGTCAAGGAAAGGTAAGTGGAAACATACTGTGTCACAGGGGCATATGTGTGCTGATGGCATTGAGAAACTGTATATGTGTTCAAGAGCATATCAGTAAAATAAGCAATTAGAGGGAGAGGACTGCAAGTTGCTTAAAACAACCCAAGAGAAGGTAGCTACATTTAAAATAATAAAAAGCATAGAAAGCCTTATAAATAACAAGCCATCTTCTTGGCTGGTATTCCTGATGGAAGGGAAAAAATAGCCCTTTAATCTCAAAAAGCTACTTCAACAATTCTTTTTACTTTCCCAGCAAGCAAAGAGAATAAGTGCAGTGGGACTTGTTCTTGAAATGTAATCTTCTTCACACTCTTTTCCTCCCCAGTAATGGCTCCACCATCACAACCTGATATTTTGCCACACAGGGATGTCTGTACAGCTAGAATCTATCCTGCTCTTAGCTTAGCAGCTCCACTTAAGGAGCAGAGAAGCAGCCTTTCTTAGGAAGAGAAAAGGTTGGGAACAAAAGCAGCTTGGATGTTTCACTGCTGAGCTTTGAACATAATCCTTGGTTCAATTATGAGCTAGCTTTTTTTTATTTTAACTTGTCAGCCAGTTTGCCGTATATGTCAGCATAAAAATAAAGAAAATGGTAAAATGAGAAGAAATGTGGTGCAGTTCTCAAAGGAACAAATAACTTGTGTTATTGGTTAAGACCGTACCAACATTAAAAAGCAGTCCCTGTGAAGAAACTTTCAAAAGGGTATCATCAGCCTGGACCCAAACAGTGGCTGAGGTTAATCTCTTCCAAGGCACAGCTACAAAAGTTGGAAGCCTGTAAAGGGCTTGTGTCCAAAAAAATCAATTTCTAATTTGAAACAAAATCATTTTTGACTAACAGGGGTTCAGGACCCATTACTTTTGCTGTATAGTCTGCTGACATTTCACACTTTCTGTTGTGCACAATGAATCCTAATAGTCATTTTATAACATTGCTACACCAATCAATTTAAGCAAGAGAAAGCCGTTACAATTCTGCAAAGTTTCAGGGGCAATTTTCACTGATGGTTTTCTTTTATGTTTTTTTTTTTTTTTTTTTTTCTTTTTTCAGCTATCATTATTTTTTTTCTTCTTTTTTCCTCTTCCTTCTCCCCCTTTCTTTTCAATACTGTAGTGATGAAATTGAGATTTTTCACAGTTGGATGATGGGTTTTGTTCCTTGGATAGGGATAGTCTCCCCAAAAGTAATTTGTTTTCCATAGATTCTGGGGGAAAAAAATCCAACCTGGCCTCTTCTTCATTCATTCATTTCATTTTGTAGTTCTTAGAAGAGTCACAGGCTACACCTGGCTATTGTACATAGTAATGGAGCTGCACCTATGCTGATTTAGTGACTGTGGTGGTCAGCATAACATCTGAAGATGAGGGGTATGTTTCACAAACAGTGGGATTGCTGGCTTTGAAGATGCAGAGCTGCGTGGTAAAATTTAACTTACAAACATTGGCACTTGCTGTGATACCAGATAAAGTTCAGAGAAATGCTTTCAAGCTGTGGAACAACCTCAGGTCTATTACTGATTTGAATGGCTTGTTTATCACAAAGCAAATTACCTAGCACTTATCACTGAAGTTGAAGTCTTCTGTATTTAGTACATTTTTAATTGGCTTCCCTCTGTTATATGTTTGGACTCCTTTAACAAGCATACAGACATACTTGTAAAGTGTTTTCCATCTTTGGGGATCACCAGGGCACAAAGTTTCTTCATTCTAGTTAGCTCTGGACTTAGCTATATGATTGCCCTTGCTTCTGCTGGATCTTCCCAACTGGTTGCTGACCTGGAATTTCTGCTTCAGAATTTATATTTTTATTAGGAAGCAATTATATAGCATCTTGAAAAAATAAAATGAGGGATGCTAACATTCTTTTCCCTGGTGATCTTTATAAAAAATATGGTATTTGCTTTTCTGTGTCTGAGTGCTGAGCCAGCAAGCCTGGGGGTCTTTCTCAGGCCTGTTGTGTCAATACAAAGTGAACCTTCTACTGCAGTGTGTTTACCTGAGCTCTAGTGAAGTCATGCAGTGTGGGGAAGGGGAATTATGTCATCTTGAGGCATGAAACTTTTTGTTATTTAGCCGTATACCTTAAGGTGGCCTTTTGGTCAGAAAACATCAGTGCTGGGTACGGTGTACAGAAGGATGTCCATTGAAAACTTGACAGTCAGATGTTAGCCTATTGCCTCAGAGGTTTATTTTTTTTATATTTGCCTTGATCTGTCTTGCTGATTTAAATTGTATATTCTTCAGGATGGGGATTGTCTCCATCATACCTTAGTGCAGTGCCAGAACTGAATGTGAGTCTTTGGGCTCACTGTACCACTGGGAATGGTGCGTGTATCTGGGAGATGGAGCATCTCATGATAGTGTCCCTCCACAGCAACATAAGCAGTTGTAGCAGATTTGGTGGTGTCTTACCTACCGTTGTTTTCTTAGAGAGTTTGTTTTGGTTGGTTTGTGTTCGGATTGGGTTGTTTGGGTTGTTTTTATTTTTTTTTAGAAGGTAAAATGATTAATCAGGAAACCATTTCTGTGCTGGAATGGTGAAAGGATATATAGCCCTCAGGACTGCTCATTTACTGTGAGTTCAGTGAGTTTGGAAAGGGTGATTTCCTACTAAACCCCCTTTTCCTTTTCCCGGCAGAGGTTTAGTACTGGGGAGGAGAGCATTGCTAACCTGTTCCTATCACCTCACGGAGTGGAAGGGAAACTTCTGCTCTCTTTTCAGGATAGAAGCTTACTGGGTCAGCTTAGGCACTCAGCTTTTTGTTCTCTCACTGATGCTTTTTGTCTCTTGTTTCTTGTTTGTTCTTTGATTTTTATTCCTGTGCTGTAGCAGGTGTTTGTGTCTTGTAGCCAAACTTTTCTAGCTTTACCAGCAAAACTTTAAGCAGACAAACTAATCCTCGCGTCTTAGATCTTTTCAGCAGTAAATTGTTTTTATTGGTGTCACCAGCAGCTATGTCAGTTTGTACTAAAATCTAACAACTTGCCTAGTTAAAAAGTGCTGAAGTACAGAAATGTGTGTTTCTCTCTCTTTCTGCCCTGGGAAATTTTGCTTTTGGGCTGGGAAACTAAACTAGATTCTATCCATTGTATTCGGCAATATTGTGCACTTCTCTGTGCCTCTGTTCAGTCTTCCTCTTCACACCTTTCCTGAAATATCTCTGCATTGAAACAGAAAAAGAAATATTTTTCCCTTTCTATCTTGTTTGGGTACATAACATCTGCATGACACTGTATAGCATGCACAGCTTTCCTTTCCATATGTTAAAGAAAAAGCCAAAGAAAGAAAATTATTTTCTCTCATAGCATCTGTACTTTTCCAGGGGCTGATTTTTTCTTATATTGTTTGTTTTTCAGTAGCGTTTCTAATGTAGCTTCTTAGGGTTTCAGGATCTGGAACTTATTCCCTTGAGGGAAGACTCTTTCCTACAATTGAGTAGAGCAATTAGTTAATATTAGTGAAGCGCTTTGAAGATGTGAAGTACTATATAAATGTTAAGTATTATGAATATTAGTATTATTCAATTAATAAAGATTTCTTTCATGATTATCAACCTAGATTTCCCATTGCTTACTTTCATCCCATTACTGCTTGAACCAGCTTCAGCTGTATTTCTTATTTTTTAGTGTTTACATTTTCAAAATGTAGACTGCTTTATTTCCCCACTTCCTTCATGTTTTGGTTGTCTGTTTCTCAAGCAGCAATATGCAGCTATTTGAATTTGCTCAAAAGAGTCTTTAATCTACTATAAGCCATTCTTACACCAAGTTAATCAAATTGAAAATAGTATTCTTAACATTACCATTTAGAAGATACCTATAATTGCTTGGGGAGTACCCTGACTTGCAAGGTTACGGCTAGTTTGGTTTTTGCTATTCTTTGCTACTTCAGGTTCTCTCAATTTGAGTCAGCATTTAGATTATCACACCATATATGAGCTTTTTTTTTTTTTCCAGGGGTGACTGTGTCTATTCTTTTTCCAGGTTTCTTGCTTCTCTAGATCATCTGCAAGGTCTCCTGTCTCATACTGTCTTCCAACACCTGCAAATCTAATTAATTTGCTGTCATTTGTATCACCTCAGTTCTCCATGACTTTTCATAAATAATTACCAGTCACTTCATAAATTCATTAACTAATTCCCTTTCGCCCTGAAATATATATCCTTCAGACTAAAGAATTTGTATCTTCCCCCGCCACCCCCCCCTTCCACCCCTGTGGTAATTTCATCAGCTTTATATGGGCAGGTATTATACATCAACATGGTCTTCATTATCTCCTGCTTGCCAATAGTCTTTTTTTTTTTTTATTTTTCCTCATAGTATATTTTAAAATTAGTGGTAACCTGGCCATTTTAAGATCATTATTGAGTTAATCTTCTTCATGTATTCATAGACCTGCTTGCCCTTTGGTGTTTCTTTTCCCTCAGCTGACTGGCATGCCTTTTTCAATACATATTTTTAAACCTATTTTTTTATATATTCATTTATTGAGGATTTCTTGCTACCCCTGTTTTATATCTGTGCAGGCTAACAGCCTCAGTATATTCCTGCTTAGTTCCTTTTCTTGTTTTTTATTTCTAGCCCTGGTAATATTTTCAAACTTGGGTCTTTGAACAGTCCCCTTGAGGCTGTATTGGCCACTTCCGAGTCCATATATTTCCTTTTTCTTAGAAATACGTCTGCTTTGCTATCAATGTGGTATGTTGACAGTGTGCCAGCCTTTTTTTATATTAGGAATTGAATATATTCTCCCATGATCACCAGGTTTTTATTACTTTGGTATTAGTTTCTTAAAATCCAGCTGCCTCATTCCACTGTCATGTGAAATGACTTCTAAATATCTCTTATTCAATCATAAAGCCAGAAGTCTAAGCAAGATGCTTCCAGTCTTTATATGCATACTCACTCTTCTCATCATGGACTGGCACACTGTCAAGTTACCAGGGACACACAATCAACACGATATTTGTAAGAGTTCTGTCACAAATAATTAACTCTTTGTTAGGTGATGTTTTTTCATTGCATAGTACTGAAGCACAATGCATTATAGCAGGGCGATGAGAACGTATTTTTTTTTCTCAGACTCCCTAGAATACACCTTAAAATGTGTGGATTTACTATATTGTATATCTTTGTATAAATCTTAAATCAGTGCAGTATTTTATAAAATGTGAATCCCTTGGACGTCTGTAAATTTTATGCTGAAGCTGGAATTACAGCCTTTTTGGGTTTCTTCATGTTTCAGCATGGATCATAGATAATGTTGCTGTTCACAGAGCTGAGAAATATTTGGACATGACAGAATTACTTAAAGAGCTAAACACTAATTTGACTTTAAACTTTGCTGAGACTTGTAGTTTTCCCTATTTTTACTGTTTAATTAAGCAATGTTGGTCGGACAGAGCTAATTAGGCTAGATTAAAAAAGCCCAACCCCACAGGCTTTTGTGTAGTAGATCAGATTACTCATGATTTGCCTATTCTGCTTACTTCTAACTACCTGTATGCAAGCTGTCAAACTAATTCCTATCTCTAGAGCTTCTCAGATAGGTGGGTGAAAGTTGGAAGATGGGTGGAAAACTGGCTGGACTTCCAGCCTCAAAGGGTTGTCACTGGGCTAGCGCAAGCCAATTGCTAGTGGTTAGTTGCTTAACACTAGCAACCTGGACAATTGATCAAGATATACACCTTCAGCACGGCTGCAGGTAACATACCTAGGGCAGCAGTCAATATGCTGGAGGGTAGGGACCCTAACGGGCTGGGAAAATGGTCTGAGAGAAACCTGTTTGGCTTCAGTAAAGGGAAATGCCAGTTTCTTCAACTGTGTTGGACCAAACTCTTTAACAGGACCAACTGGGTGCTGACAACCTGGAAAGCAGTTTTGCCAGAAAAGAACTGTACATCCTGCTGAACAGCAAGTGAAACAACAGTCAGCAGTGTGCCTGTATGAGGAAGTAACCAGACCTCATACTAGGCCATAACTGCAAAAGTGTGGTCAGAAGGTTGATGAAGGGACACTTCTCTATGATTGGCTCTAATGAGGCTGTATCTGTAGTGCGCTATGTCCAGTTTGGGGTTCCACAGGACAAGGAGAACATTGACAAGCTGCAGGAAGTCTAGCAGAGGCAAGCAGGGCAATCAGAGGGCTGGAGCATATAACCTACTGGGAAAGGCTGAGAAAGCTGGGGGTGTTCAGCCCTAAGAAGACGTGATTCAGTATACATCCTCCTGTTCTCTTCAACTGCCTAAGGAGAGGGTGTAGAGAAGAAGAGATGAGACTGTTCTTGGAAGATGTCAGCAACAGAGCAAGACACAATGAGAAAATGTTACAATTCAGGAAATTCTAAATAGCTATACAGAAAACATTTTTCACTCGGAAGGTGGTCAGATACTGGAACCAGAGTTGTTGCCCAGAGAAGTGGAGAAATTGAAAACATAACTGGACAATTGCCCTAAACCTGATCTTGTTGGTCCTGCTTTGAATGGAAGATTGGATTGCATGACCTCCAGACCTCACCTTTCACCCTTGGTTATCTTGTAATTAAAGAGTTACTGGGAGGGATAAGAAGGAATGGACTAGCAGTTCTATTTTATTTAAAGAAAAATACTGTTATAGTGATATTTACACTTGGGAAGCTAACATCTTGTAGCATGTCATGAGAACTGCATCTGTGAAACAAGCTGAATCCTGCAGACCACTATGAGAAATGACAACACTGCAAGTCTGTCAGACTTTAGGCAGTAAGATGGTGGCTGTAGAGTGTGACTTATTCTACACATTTGATTGTGTGGCCCTGAAATGCATGCTATGCACAGTACTGCCAACTGATGATTGCCCCTGAACTGTGTATATATAGCACTCCAAAAATGCTGCAACTTTTAGTCTTGGTATTCTGTGATAATACAGAATCATGAAACATCTGTCCAAAACTGACTAGCCTCTGATGTCTGGCACATCTTCTCTTCATTCCATAGGAACAACTTCAGGACCTAGGAAGGATGCAGCCACGTCTCCTGTGCTGATAGGCAACAGAAAAGAGCTTACAACCACAGCCACATCACCAATCCAGCATGGCTCTTCACGGTAAGCTGCTAGGTAACCTCTGATCTAATGCTCTGCAAATGCAACCATCAAACTCTCCTAGATGCAGGGAAGTGGCTGAATTTCTATGATATTTCATGTTAGCACGAGCTGGATAATATAAACTCAAAACTGCTGTATCCTTTTGACATTTATAGTAAGCTTTAAATTGCCTGTTAAAATAAGAAAAGCAGGAATATGCCAAGTTCTAACATTTTAATTTTACTTAGATTTTGAACAGAAAGTTTTTATGTTCCAAGTCGTGACACATTAAATACATTTGTAAATAATTTGAATGGATGATGTTAACGCCTGTTAGATTTAATATTCATTTGAAGATTTTAATCCCTCTGTATTTGCCCCGCTCTCCATATTTTATCAAATGGCATTTCTTTTAAAATGTTTTGTACCAGAGTTATTTTATGTTTAATGACAAACCAACAAAATCGCATTAAGTCAGCAGTTCATGATTATACTATATATCTGCACTAAATGCACTGGAAAAGCAACATTATCACTTCTGCTCCAGTGAAGAAAGCAGTGCTGTTGTTGCACTGAGAAGTCTAAAACAACTTGCCTTCTTTAGGCAGGATTGCAATTCTGGTGCTAGGTGCCTTGAAGAACAGAATATAATCCTTGCTTTTCTTTATCATGTCCCACACTTTCTCATAATAAAATCTTTAGTTAAGCAACAAAGTAAATGCAGGTTGAAGTACGAATTTTACACCACTAATTAGATGACTTTGTGCAGTGGGGTGAAAAGAACGTATGACCATTCATAAGAAGAGTTAAATGTTTCTTGAAGAACGAGAGGGCTTGAGTCAGTTTTAATCTTCTCTTGGCCCAGTGGCCTAGGAAAATGTATGCTTGATATCATCCCTGTATTCTTGGAAGCAGCTGGCAGTTTATTTCTATCTTCTGAGAGAACTTGTGATATATAATAGGTGAAAAACCACTATCAATATTGACAAATTTGTACTTACTTGCTATGGAAACACTTTTTTTTTTTTTTTTTTCCCCCTTCTGAAGGAAGGGATGATAATTCTGGGAGGATTTAAGAACTGGGATGGATTGGGCTCTGCTTCCCAAAAGTAACTGCATGTTTAAACAAACAGAAACTACAAGATTGCCTAAGCATTTCTTTTAGAAGCAAGAGTTACCTTTGCAAGCCAATAATATCAGATAAATAATCTGTAAAGATACTGCTTGATACTGTCTAACAGTGATAAGTTGAGATTCCATTCAAGCACTGAAGAGTAGATATAATTATTCACATCTTACAGCAACTGCTCAGAAAGAGGAATTTTATTCAAGAGGATTGATGGTCCATTCTTTTCCACAGAGGGGAGTAAAATATTTGTTGAAATATGCTGTTAGAAATCATATCAGATAAAGCGATCAGTAAAAGGAGTCTGATTAGCTGTCATCCTTAAAGGTTTATTTTACCAGTTGATGACAAATTTTGAAAAATCCTGCATGTCTGGGGTGCTCTTTCCCACGCTTCCTTGCTTGCTTTCTCTCTGTTGGTGCTGTAAGTATAATTGACCAGTTTAAGCAGCCATGTTGTGCTTTCCCTTACTCATGGCCTTCTCTAATTGAAAATGGTAAATGGACAAGTATTTCTGTGGAGACCTAAAGCTGATCCTATCCTTCATCAAGAAACCTGCTTGGGCAGCAGGTCAGTCTCAATTTATCACTGAATGGTTATAAGCTTAGACTGCAGGTTTAACTAACTAAATTAATCAATATTGAGAATTATTGCTGCTTTTGTGCCACTGAAGTTAGGGTTTGTCAGCATGTTTGTTATAATCTGTGATTTGGGGCGGGGGGGGAGGTAGCAGCTTAACCACAACAGTTGGCACAGGCTCGAAACTTGCAGCACAAAGCCCTAGCCTGAGAGCAAATTTATTTATCGGCAGTACGTGTAAACCTAATTACTTTTGACTATTTAAATTTATAGGACTAGATTCAACTCATGTTTGTGCCAGCTTTAACTAGCACAAACCCTGGCACCCGGCAGTAGCAGCAGTGGAAAGCCTGCCAGGGAGAAGGTGTTGGAAGGCGGCAGAAGCTCCCTGCCAGCACGAGGCACCAGGGTGCTAGCAGAGCTTCTGGGGAGAGCTGGCTGGGTAAGCAGGCATGGCAGGTAGAAGATGCCTTGGCTTGATAGCCTGTCTTGGCAGGGCTCAGCCGCAGGCTTCAGCGTGTTACAGCTACCTCCTCCTTAAGGAACAAGCGCTGCAGTCCTGCTTTTTTCTCCCTCTCAGAGTGAAACACGTCTGGGATAAGAAAAACGAGTCCCTGAAAGGTGGAGGTTGTGCTTTGAGAGTCTTAGTGCTAGACCTGTAGAAGGCCTGGACTTGCAGGGTGAATGAGCACAAAGTGGTTTCAGTAATGTCTCCAAAAGAAAAATAACATTTCTTTATGTGGCATCCTGAGTTGGGCTAATAGTGGATTTGTTTGCCCATTATGCTTTTATGCATGCCTGTTGCTGCTTTTTTGGAATTTACCCAAGCATTGCATGTTTGGTTATCCAGTGTTCTTAAGACCAGTGTCTGTACCTGCATAAGCCCCTTCAGGCTGTGGTCACAGCAGGTCCAGAAAGCTTTTCTAATCCATGTGCTTATGTACCTAGACAAAAGCTGGTGTATTTGGGAAAGAAAAAATCACAGCCCTGAGGCTGGCAGTAGGCAAATTTGAAAGAGTAAGTTTGTTCCTTGCCCCTATAAAGCATAGCTCTTCTGACTATTTTTAATGTTAGCTTTTTGGTGATTAGGCATGCCTTCTTCATAGCTGAAGAGGTTTTGGTTTGGGCTGTGAGCTGGGAGAGAGCTGGAAAAGGAAGGCAGTGGCATTTGTACGCTTTCATTTAGCAAGGAAGAAGTTTTTACATAAACCAGATCTTTCTTACCTTAGGTGTAATCGGGTACTGATTTCAGCAAAGCAAGTGTTGTGTTGCAAAGCAGAAGTGAAGCTGCTCTAAATCAAAGTCCTAAGCTTTTTGGGTTTTATGTTGCAAATTGTTCCTAGTGAAAGAGCATTTAATTTGATTACAGTCCTGGTGCAGTCGTCAGGCTCTCCCCACGCAGAAGCAGTTGTAGAGTTGGGTTTGGCACATAAGTCCTGTAACACTGCAGATAATCAAGCACTTAAAAAGGCATAGGCAAAGGTTGTTCTGTTCACCATGGAAACAGATAATTCTCCTGTAACAGTTTTACATTTTTCACTTCAGGCATCTAAGAAGTGAATTTAAGAACAGTTAGGTAAATTAAGGGATTGAGTGATAGTCTGGGATTTCAGCATTAAGCCTGTGTTTTCTTGTTGCCGTTTTAAATCAGAGCTTTATTGCTAGCTGAATGCATTGTCTTGGAGTGAAGTTTCTTGTAGCCATTAAAATAAGTGATTCAGAAGTTCCTGCAATATGAATACTATATTCAAGCTGTGTTATTATCTGTTAGACTACAGTGGCCTGTTGGAGTTTTCATAAACAGATTGTATTGTGTAAATTTGTGTTTAGGGACATTTTAAAAACAAAACTATTTACCCAATTGCCCAGCACATCTCAGGTGAATGTGTACTCAGGGACTTTTAAGCAAATTAATATCTGATGTAAAATATAATGTGCAGAGTTGTATACTTAATAATGCACACTGGAATAGTCTAGAGTAGATCTGTTATGCTGAGTGTTAGGAAATACGACAGTGATGAGATTTAAGCTTTTGCCTTCCTTGTGCAGTAGTTGCCTTTCAGATCTGTGCATGTTGGAGGCTTAAATCCGGCTCTGCTCTTAAGACAATACTATGAAGTTCCTTCTACTGCAGAGTCTGAGCGAGTGCTGCCAAGGAAGTGGATTCCCCCTCGCACCCCTTCAGATCAGACATTATTCCAGATTCAAAAGGAGGATGGGGAGAAAACTTTCATACCAGACCTAACTTAGGAACATGTAAAGGGACTAAAAGTGTGTTTGGAGTGGTGAGTTAGGTGCTGAATGTGGTAGGAGACACAAGTTCTGCCTACTCCCTGAGAAAGCCAGCAGCACAAAAAGTCCAATATAGTTCCATATGCAAGTGATAAAACCAGACATTGGCAAATTAATCTCTCTTATTCACAGTGTAGGTTGTTAATTGTTCTCTCTGCTGGCTGTCGATATAATGTGAAATTTTCATTCCCCATTCAAGATGGAAAAAGTTGTGGCTGAAAATGTTAACATTTGCATTTTTATTTGTTGATTTATTTAAAGGACAGCCTCTCTTACAGCAATCCATCACTCAGTGACACCCCAAATATGAATAATGTATTGTAGACTTGCGGTTACAATGTGTAATAAGTGCCAGAGACAGTAGAAGAATGTTAACTATGTTGCAAATGTAATATTTATCGACTCATAGTTTATTGCTTTCGAGGTTCAATAATACTGACCATAGGACATTAATATCACTTATCTTGATTTTAGTTGGGCACCTCTGTATGTAGAAATAACCCATCTATCTCATACATACAAAATAAATGTGAATTTTACAGCGCTTTGTAAGAAGTGCATTATAGGTTTCTTTGCTTAGTTCTCACAATTCTCCTTTTCTGCCTTCTCATTTACTTATATCTGACATTGATCCCACTCCAATTGCCTGACCCAGATGATGAGCACCTCAGCACTCTTCTAGAGGCTTTATTTACTGGCTGCATTGTGATCTTCTGCCCCCGATGGTGTTTGGACCAGGTCTCTCTTGCTGTTAAACACTGGCAGAAAAAAGAGACTGCTACAGTTTTCTAGTGCTTCTGTCTGAAAAGACGATGGCTGAGAGGCTAACACAGAGATAAGTTCTATTTCGGAAAGACATGCATAGCAAATCTAAATCATCTCTCTTTTACAGGATCACAGATATAAGAAATAGGAGTGTTTAATTAGGTCAACAGTTATTATAGACGTGACATTTAATTACAGAGAAATTTTTGATCAATGAATAGAAATGTATTAATTTTAGAAGATGAGAGCCAAAATTTTC